GCAGAATACCAGAATACTTAAAATCCTATTTATTTTTAGCAGAATATTCAGTAGTTGAAATATATATTTTCAGTAAAGTATTTTCAGCAGAATTCTTCAGTAGAATATTATTGTTAACACTAAATCTACCATCTCTTATTTTCAAATTGTTGAAATAGTATCCAAAACAGTAATCTAACAGTAATCAACAGTAATCTAGTATCTAAAACAGTATCTAACGTGTGTTCTTTTAAAACGACAAGAAGACTGTACTTATTTAGATGTTTTGCTATTTTTGTTACACTATAGACTTTGGCGAAAGGTTTAAATAAATACAGTCTTTTCATCGTTACAAAGCAACGCACGTCACTTTCTTTTAGTTATTTACCGTATATTTAATGTTACTAAAACGCTTATTAATTTCAATAACAACCACACTCGAATTCGCAACTGTTCTTTTGAAAAATGGTTTCGCCCAGTTAAGCGTTCTCCCAATAATAGTTCCGCTGGTTGAACGCAGATGTCGTCGCGGTCGCCGACATTTTGCAGCCGGAATATTAGAAGGGGGTGGGGGGGAATATTAGATCGCGGCCGAGAGCTTTCGACTTTATAGCGACGGTTACCGTAAAAGCAAGTTTCTAAACGACTTTTCCTGCGCCGGCCAAGAAACCTGGCAGAAAAAGACGAGTCGTCGCGTCTGTAATGCCAGCTAATCGAGAATTCGTCCCGGCAACGCGATTTGAATAAGATTCTCGTAAAGCAGCGGAATTTATGCTGATGTCGGGCCGAGACCGGACGAAATGAGCTGTGAACAAATCGGAAAGATTAATTCGTGAGCGCCGCCGCCGCCTCGCGATTCCATCCCGCGCGCCTTGTCGTCTCTCGTCCAACGGCGATCCCGTGCGAATTAATCGACGCGCGATTGCTCGCTGAGTCATCGGGGAAAATCAGTTCGCGTCTCGATGAAGATCGGAGATTGACCTACATACTTACACAGATGGCGTTGCGGCGGAAACGGCGACGAACGTTGCCGCACTCGCTTGGAAGAACCGAATCGCTCTTTAGCTGGACAATTTGTTCGACGTGAGAACGAGTAATTTTTATATTTTTTTGGTTAAAATGTTTTAGTTGTTCAATTTAACGAACCGATTATTTCTTGGACTGTATAGCCTTCCGCCAAACGAACTGCCATTTTCAATAGGTGATTTCTATTCGGGATTAGGTTAAGTGTAAGTATTACTGTGGTTTTTCTATGAAGGCGAACTTTGACGGAGAAAATAAGACCTTTTATAGGTCAATAAATTAATAACTCTTGCTGTACCAATTATTCTTTAACTAGAATATTTATTTTTCAATAATATTGCATCTCTGAATGCACGGATTTCATTAAAAAGCGTAACGTAAAGAAGTGCAAGGTTACGTCAAGGTTATTATTAGATTAGGTTTAATGTAAGTATTGTTGCGGTTTTTCTATGAAAGCGAACTTTGACGGAGAAAATAAGACCTTTTATAGGTCAATAAATTGACAACTCTTTGCTTTACCAATTATTCTTTAACTAGAATATTTATTTTTCAAAAATATTGGATCTCTGAATGCACGGATTTCATTAAAAAGCGTAACGTAAAGAAGCGCATATGTATCTATGTATTACTTAGAGTATTTATTATAGGTTATGTATTATATTGTATTTCTTTTAAATACATACGCACAGCTACAATTCCCAGGATCAAGATATTCTCGCTGCATCACTTTACAAATTAGGTATAATATAATATCGGTACGATCAAGCGTGTTCGCACCGGCTCGTCGAGAACTACACCGTATAGGTTAAGGTACGTAGTTCAATAAAGCGCTGCAGTAATGTACACTCACAGTGAAAAACTATGCCCCAAGTACTGCGTTAGTAAATAATATTTGAGGTTAGACGATCGCGACAGTGTTCATCAATATTTTTATCAAAGCAACGATCATCTAAAAATAACGCTAAAATTAATTATTATAAAATGCTTATTATAATTATTATTAATTATTATAATAATTATATATATTATAATTATTATTATAATATTATTTATTATTATTATTATTATTATTATTATTATTATTATTACCAAAATATAAATTAACCTAAAAAGAGACTGATCACTGCAACTACGCAAAAAAATAGTAGCACAAATATCGTCGAAAAACGCGTGTTACAGCAATTTTGGAACTTCAGACATAACGTTGACGTAACGAATGACGTAAGAAACGGATTGAACGATGAATTTTAATTCGCACGAGAAATAAGCGCGGATCTTTTTAACAGAGTCGATTACTTCAGGTTCGAACTGTCGGAACAACGGAAACGGAAACGGTAAGCAGCGAAGGTCCAGGACGAACTTCACCCTGGAACAGCTGGCGGAGCTGGAGAGGCTGTTCGACGAGACACACTATCCGGACGCGTTCATGCGGGAGGAGCTCAGCCAGAGATTAGGGCTGAGCGAGGCGAGGGTTCAAGTCTGGTTCCAGAACCGGCGGGCGAAGTGTCGCAAACACGAGAGTCAATTGCACAAAGGTACGTTGAATGTTGACGATTGCCGGTAATAAGCCGCAGATCGTATCGCAACATCAACGGCCGGCCCGCGTTCAACTCTCGGCGAAACTACCATCGAAACTCGAACAGCAGTTTAGCGGCACGGCGCTCGGAAAATCGGGGACGCCGTATACGAATCTTGTTGACGGTTATGGTCGCTCGAAATTGGCCGTCGATGATCGCTTCGTTAAAATCAGGATTTATCGGGGTCATATCTATCTAAATATGTTATAGTGTAAATAAATTAATTACAGTCCGGTATTTGGAGGAAGTGAGATACATATTTTTATGCTTTTTTCTTTCGTATACTTATTTATTTTGTTGTTCTTTCTGCGTATTTTCTACTCTTGTCATTTAATATTATTTAATACTTTTTCAATTCGATCACATTGTAATTAGTGACCTTAATTCGATTATATCGTAATTCATGATATTAATTCAATTACATAATAATTCGTACCGAATGTAATTCAATTATATCCTAATTCACAATTAATGTAAATCAATTATATATATTTTTTTTGTAATTCGCAATTAATGTAATTCAGTTACATCGAGACTCGTACTTAATGTAATTTAATTACATCGTGATTCGTACTTAATGTAATTCAATTACATCATAATTCGCAGTTAATGTAATTCAATTATATCCTGACTTGTACTTAATGTAATTCAGTTACATCGAGACTCGTACTTAATGTAATTTAATTACATCGTAATTCGCAGTTAATGTAATTCAATTACACCCTTACTTGTACTTAATGTAATTCAGTTACATTGAGACTCGTACTTAATGTAATTTAATTACATCGTATACAATTCGTACTTAAAATGTAATTCAATTACATCACAATTCTCAATCAATGTAATTCAATTACATTACAATTCGCAATTAACTCGCAATTGCAATTTCATGCAAGAAAAGGTCCGAATTACGAATTACAATCTGATGGAATAGTAACATAATTTAATTACAATTACATACCTTGTAATCACAATACCGCCAGTGATTAAATCGCAATTCCTCATATTACGTGACAACTTCAGTCTCGAATCTGTTCGTAAACGAGTACTGTTCGAAAAGTTACAGGGGTAGCAGGTGGAATGGTGCTGGCACCACGCAGCCCCCCGACCAGCCTGGAGCCCTGCCGTGTGGCGCCGTACCTGCCGGCGCTCAGGTTGCATCCGCCGATGCAGGGTGCAGGTGGAAACGTGACGGCTGCGGCCGGTTCGGCGTTCGACCCGGCGGTCCTCCATTACGCGGCAGCCGGCGGATTATTTTGTTTGCCACCGCCGCCGCCGCCGCCGCCGACCTCCGGCCATCCGCACCCCCACCCCCTCAGCCTGGCAGCGTCTCTAGCGGCTGCCGCGGCTCGGTCCAAGAACAGCAGCATCGCGGACCTCAGACTGAAGGCTAGACGACACCAGGAGGCCCTGGGCCTGGACAGGCCCGCGTAAAACTCGACCCGGAGGACCCGGGCGGTGAGAGTTTAGGGCCTCTGGACGGTCGCGGTTAGGGTTGTTGCGCGGCGGTGAGTACTCTTCGGTGTCCTTTTCTTTCTTTCCTTTTTCTTTCTTACTTTCTTCCTTTCTTTTTCTCTTTCTTTCTTTCTCTTTCTCTTGTGTTTCCTTTCTTTCTTTCTCTTTCTCTTGTGTTTCCTTTCTTTCTTTCTCTTTCTCTTGTTTTCTTTCTTTCTTCCTCTCTTTGTCTCCCTCTCTGTTTTTTCTTTCTTTCTCCCTTTGTCTCCTAATCTCTTTCTTTCTCTCTTTATCTCCTAATCTCTTTCTTTCTCTCTTTGTCTCCCTCTTTCTTTCTTTCTTTCTTTCTTTGTCTCCTCTCTCTCTTTCTTTCTTTCTCTCTTTGTCTCCCNTCTTGTGTTTCCTTTCTTTCTTTCTCTTTCTCTTGTTTTCTTTCTTTCTTCCTCTCTTTGTCTCCCTCTCTGTTTTTTCTTTCTTTCTCCCTTTGTCTCCTAATCTCTTTCTTTCTCTCTTTATCTCCTAATCTCTTTCTTTCTCTCTTTGTCTCCCTCTTTCTTTCTTTCTTTCTTTCTTTGTCTCCTCTCTCTCTTTCTTTCTTTCTCTCTTTGTCTCCCTCTCTCTCTTTCTTTCTTTCTTTCTTTATTTATTTATTCCTCGTTTTATCTCCCTCTCTCTTTCTTTCTTTCTTTATTTATGTATTTATTTATGTACGTACTTATTTATTTATTTATTTATGTATTTATTTATTTAGGTATTTACTTATGTGTGTACTTATTTATTTATTTATTTCTCGCTTCGCCGAACCACAAGAAGTGAAACCGTCGCGTCGCCACCTTGACGGGTATATCTGCCAGGCCGCCATAACTTTCCATCGGATTTACTACGGATCGTGACGTAGTAACTTTAAAGAAACTAGCGTTTGGTGTTAGGGATCAATGGCAAATGTTACGCACGAAAGTGCTGTAGTTTCGCTTCACCGTGAACCGAGCGTAGTAAACCAATGGCAGGCCAGCGATATACCTGGGGAAACAATAATTGGTTCGAACAAGCGTAACGCACCGTTCGGCGGCATCCCGCCGTGTCTCGAGCACGCGTTTCTGACAGTTACATGCATACGTACGTATGTATTCAGAAGCGGCGGCGGCGGCGACTGCGACGACGGCGGCGGCGGCTCTCGTTCGAGACGCCGCCATCTTGTAAACTCGGCCTGCGAGATGGCCTCGTCCAAAACGCGCGTACGGACCGCTGTCCGTGAAGTACAAAAACCGGGGACTTCTCGATGTGTATAAAGTGAATTTTTTGCGCAGACGTGTGTATGATATATGGACGTATAATTATAATGTACATGTATAAATATATATTATAAATAGTCGAGGGTCAGTAGTGATGTTGGGCTTGAAACAAAAACAAAACAAACAAAAAAAAAGAAACACTTACGAAGACGAATCCCCCCCGTGATACTCGTTCCTCCCCGACGACGACGACGGAACGGCTGTTCGTTCGCGAAACGCGATGCACCGTGCTGCGATTGAATAAATATTACGATCGATATCGAGTCTTTTTCTTTCTTTTTTTTTTTAATGATCGCTAATTATAGTCACACGTGACAGAAAGTTATACGAGACTTTTAGGTTCTCGACGTTTCGAGAACGAACACACTACTCCGGCTGTTCCCGGACGCAAAAGATTGTCATTCTGTATACTATTAGCTTTAAAATATATAAACTTGATCCTTCAACCGGCGTGGACTATTTATTGCTACCCCTCGGACAGGCATAGAAATTAAAAGCTGCGAGCCGATTCCGGGTTATTTCTCTTCGGGCTATATATATATATATATATTATACCCGATATTTTTTATATATAAATTTTTTATATATAATATATATAGATTATATATAAATACTGCAGTATTTTATAAAAGTAATAAAATCTGACATTTTATCGTGTGTAATCTTCTAAAAATGGATCTCAATTTTTTATACGTTTAATATCGACAATTTATGGCATACAAGTAACAGCAATCGCAGTTTTAATGCATTTATGGACTTTTGATATTCGAAAGCTTATGGGAATGTTGAGTTTTAGGCAGCTGTGAACACTGATTCGATTCACGTCTCTCAGACGTGATAATTACTAATGACCCGATTATTTGGCTACGTCTCAGAGACGTGATAATCACTTCTAGCCCGATTTTTTACCACGTCTCTCAGACGTGATAATCGTTTTTGTCTCGATTTCTTGACCACGTCTCTCTGACGTGATAATCATTTGTCTTAATTTCTTGATCATGTCTTTCAATCGTGATAATTATTTCTGGCCCGATCTTTCGACCACGTCTCTCAGACGTGATAATCATTTCCGGCCCGATTTTTCGACCACGTCTCTTAGACGTGATAATCATTTATCTCAATTTCTTGACCACATCTCTCAGACGTGATAATCATTTCTGGCCCGATTTTTCGACCACGTCTCTCAGACGTTGTTGAAGGGTAAAGGGTTAAACAGCGCACAAACACCGTCGAAATTGGCGCAGATAAAAAAAGATCGAAATATTGCCAGATAATTATAATAACTATTATTGCCATTAATAATCACCATGGATCGCTGGTCCGTTTCTTGCTAACGCGACGGATGCCGGTTGAACGGCCAGGAAACGACGGCATTAAATCGCGGTTCCTCGGTTTCCGGCGCGAGTCGGGAGGACAAATCGCGCGTGCTGGCAGCACCGTCCAAGACATAATTCTTGGGGATGATTCACGGGTGGGTGGACAGGCCGGCCGGAGGAGTTTCTGGCTGTTACGGCGGCGTCCTCGCGGCGATCCCGATGCCGGGGTAGCCCCCGGGACGCTGGCCAGCGCGGCATCGTCGCCGCCGCGCCCGCGCCGGGGCGCTAATGCAATAACAAGTCGGTGCGCGAATAAATCAAGCCGACCGAATCGTTCCGCCAGTGCCGCGCCACCTAATCGCGTTACCCCGCTCGTCCCCCGGGCGCCGTTACTTTTTCGTTCGCGTTCGCGCCGGCCGCGAGGGTCGTCGCAGACCCCTTCGCGAGCTTTCTTGCGCCTTCGAAAGCAGATTCCACGGCGTTCTTATGGAGACCAATCCGTGCCGCGGAGGTCGTGATCCATGCATAGAATCTGTGTTCGAATTTTCCCGAGGTTTAAGACCGTTTCCACGAACGAGAGAATTTTTTGACGAACTTAAAAACGGGTTTTGATAGGCTTCCGAATTTATTTCTGGGCTTCGCCATGTTTTGGCAGAGTGTAGCATTTTTTTCTGGCTGTCAGAATATTTCTGGAGGTGCTAGATTTTTTTTCAGATGTCCTGGAATGTTTCAGGCAAGTCTGTGACTTTTTTTGGGGGTGGGGGGGTTCCAGAATAGTTTTACTGGTGGCATAATTTTTTTCAAGGATCCTGAAACGTTTCGACCAAGTCTGCAATTTTTTTCTAGGTTCCAAAATTTTTATATAGGTGACGTAATTTTTTTCAAGGGTCCGAAAATGTTTCAGGCAAGTCTGTGATTTTTTTCTGGGTTCTAGAATTTTTCTACAAGTGACATAATTTGTTTCAAGAGTCCTGAAACGTTTCAACCAAGTCTGCGATTTTTTTCTAGATTCCAAAATTTTTATATAGTTGACATAATTTGTTTCAATGGTCCTAAAACGTTTCAACCAAGTCTACGATACTTTGTCTGGATTCCACAATGTTTCTACAGGCCCGAAGCACCTGGCTATTAGTTCAAACGAGTTCGCAATTTTTCGACAAGCCGCGGAAGCGCTTCTAAAGCGGCAGACAATTCGAAAAGAATCCGGCGCGCCGAGTAATGAAACAGGTAAATCGGACGGGCGAAATCACTTCGAAACGCTGCGTCGCCTAATCGTATTATCGCGGGCTCATTCTGGACGGGTCCCGGGGGCGTCGTTATTGTCCCGTCCCCGTTTGCGCGCGTACACCTAAATGGCAGCTTTATTCGATCGTTAAACTTCGTTTAAAAGATTAAAAAGTGAAGAAGAGAGGAAGACACGGGCACCGTTCGAGTGGCACCGCTGGATAGACGCACGTATCGCGCGGAGAAAGCTCGGTGTCCATCTCGTGAGAACGGCGAGAACGAACCACCCCTCTAAATTCTCTAAATTACCAAGCCGGGAATAAAAAATCGACAAATATATTGCACGTTAAAACCGTGAAAAATCTTTGACGCGTGGCCCGCGCGACGCATAGTTACGGGCCTGTCGATGTCAAAAAATTATTGTTCCTCCGCGATTCCCGTGAAAATGGTCGAATTTCTCAGCGGACGCCGTTGAGCCGAGCAACTGGAACATATTACGGTAAATTCTCCCTGATTGACGCTCAGATTGTCCATTTTTTCTGTAAAAAATTATTTTTAAAAAAGTAAAATAATAATAATAATAATGATAATAATATAATAAATATAATAGTAATATAAAGATATATTATATATAATAAATATAATATTATATAAGTATATATTATATACAATAAATATAATATTATATAAGTATATATTATATATAATAAATATAATAGTAACATAAATAACCAAGAATGATATAAAATATATGCTATATACAATAAATATAATATTATATAAGCATATATTATATATAATAAATATAATAGTAATATAACTAATCAAGAAAATGCAATAGAACGCAAGGGATGTGAATCCGAGCTGTCAAAGTTGGTTAAAACATTGCGGGGAATTGCTTCGAGCAAAGGGCCCGCCCAGCCAGAGATCCATAGACGCGGCTCTCACAGGTGGATCATCCTAATCGGCGAGCTTAAGGGGGATCGATTTAACCCCCCGCGGCCCCATCTCGGTAATCAATTTGACCGTCCCCAGCGAATTGTCACCTAGCGGGGATTCCCGCGAGGGCATCTTAGACGAGAGCAGAGCCACCCCCTCGGATTCTTCTTTCGAGCCCCGCCGCGAATAAAATAAAGCCCGTCCCCCTCCCCCCGTATACGAGAATGAGTTCCAAGAGCGCCGCGCGCGCGGCGGGGAGGGAAAAGGCTGCACCGAGCAGTCGCTTATTTTAATCCGAGTTTAAAGAAGTTTCTATTTCCCGCCGGCTCGTAAATTGGCCGTCGTTTGTCTGCCGCTAAGGGCGCCCCCCTCGGTCTACACCCCCGCGCCGCTTCGGTCCCCCGGGGTGGAAGAGACACGGTTCGACCATTCACGCGTTACTTGCCCCCTTCTCCCGCGCGAACGTCGCTTTTGGGGTGGCTTTACAAGATTTTCATCGCGGCGGTAACAGCAAGTCCCGTTGCTTTAATTAATTGCTGTGCTTCGGATCCTTTCTAAAGACGGTGCAGCAGCGTAACACGGCACTTATTTCATTAGCTGGTTATGCATCGTGTTGTTGTTGTTGTTATCGCGTACCAGTGAAATTACTGTTATATGTTGCTGGACCGCGAATTTGATGCATACGTGGCGAAAACGCAGTGCAGCTGAAATATACAATTTCGAAGACATGAAAACAATTTAAAAATACGATTGTACTGTTTTCAATTTATTAAAGTGATTCATTTATTATTTATCTGATTTCTGCTACTCACGATTGTCTTGACAAATTTTTATTCACCATAACGATCAGCCGAGGGGTCAGCCACACACGTTTCGGATAATTTACCTTAATCGTACCTTTATTACTTTATTGTTGCAATATAGACTTAGTTTCGCACTTTGTTGAAAATTGCGAACGGAAAGATTATTATTAGGCTGTACATTTCCAAACGGTTTTCATCGATCCACAAAGTCCACAGAGCTGTAAATAATATAATTGAACTGCGAATTCTCTCTCTCTCTCTCTCTCTCTCTCTCTCTCTCTCCCTCTCTCTCTCTGTGTGTGTGTGTTATCAATGGTGAAAATGAGAGGTTAGAATTAACCAACCAATAGAAGGCTGAACAAAATTTGAAAATATCTGCATAAATAAAGAAAGAAATTTTTATATAACTCCTAGCAGTTGTTACTGGCGAACAACATTCTTATTTTGCAGAAAGATCCACACTAATAATAATAATAATAATAATAATAAGAAGAAGAAGAAGAAGAAGAAGAAGAAGAAGAAGAAAGATATGGAAATAAATACAAGCAATTTCTATTCCCATCGGTCGGTAAAACGTATCCGCGCACAGAAATGAGCCGTTTACTTTGAAAGTGGCATAAGTCACTTTTTTTTTTTTAAATAAAAAGATACCGTTCAATTGTAATTAGTGTTACCATTAACTCGATTTTTTTGAAAAAGTGATTTATGCTACTTTCATAATAAACGGCTCAAATGTCGAAGCCCACTCGCATGCAACAACGTTCATCGACATTCGTTCCGCGCCGCTTTCATAACCTAACTTAATATCTTGCAATCGCGACGTCGGATAATTGTCCTCGCAGGATATCGAGGATCGGGCGCGAACGCGGTGCAGATTCGAAGGTGTACTCGCCCTGGTTTCTTCGTCGAGGTGAATAATTTATCGGCGCGCGCGCGCGCCAACCTCTTAATGAAAAATACAGCGCTGGCCTGTAACTACGTGGCACAAATTAAAACTGGTTTTCCGTGCTTTACAGCTCTGTTGCAGCATAATTCGATTAAATCGGTAGATTACACCGGGGATAATCAATAGAGCCGGGCTTCAAGTACTTCGTTGCTGTTCAACAAATTGTGCAATCAATCTTGGCGCAGCCCCGGCTTAAAAGGTTCGCGCGTTACTTTTCA